TCCAGATCTCGTAGGTAGTAAGATGGAGTCATAAAATAATAGCGCAAAATCTAGAAATTCATTAGTTTGACAGAGTTTCTCATTACCTTCACGAAGAGCTTCTCATGGATATGTAACATGGTGGGTTGGATAATACAGCTGATCGAGATACCCGTAGTCCGATCATATAGAATCAACGCTCATTTCGCTTGCGGGCGCTCAGCAGCATCCACATATTCAAAGTTCGTTGCACCAGTTTCTTCTTTGCATTCGCATGGGTCTATTGGTACTAGTGGGTAGAATCACGAGAAGCAACTCGTATATGTCGTCCTGGCCGGCGGTACCTCAGAATGGAAATTGGGTGGCAAGGAATTGTCAAGAAGATGTATAGCTTAGACTGTAGACTCGGGCGCGTTCAGCCATGGTGTGAAAGCTTGAGAAATATACCAGGCCATGTGAAAGGAGGAACAATCTCCAGCCCGCTTAGCTAGTGTGGTGAGTTATGACCAAATCATCAATGATGATATCACAACAGAATACAATGAAGCAGTGGCCTAGCTAAAGGAACTCATAGGCCGTTAGAAGCAAACAAACACCAAATGCGACTACGCCGTTCGTATATACAGTGATGCATTCTTAAGCTAGTTATCCCAAATAAAACTATCCGAAGGTTGAATGATAAATAAACCGTATCATGCATTTTTCAAATAAAACTATCGTGCTTTTTATTTGAACGCACTCTTTTCGCAGTTACTGCAACAGTCGCATCGTGAAGTTTGACAGCAGTGGAAAGTACATTCAGGAATATGGAGGAGACGGGGGTAAGCTAAGTTTCCGAAAGATAGTAAGTAGTTTTTCAATGTTACTGCATGCAGTGTTCAATGAAGCGATGGCTCTGCCGGCTCTAGCGCAGCTGAACGTTCCTCATTCGCTAGCATTGTTCGAGAGCATCAGCATGTTGTGTGTGGCCGACCGCGAGAACCAGCGAGTGCTGTGCTTTTTGATCGGGTCATATCCGTTTTCCGGCAAGGTTTTGGTAGAAAAGGACGGCCTCGGCAGGGTGTACGCCATCTGTTCGTCCGGTAATACAGTAAAAGTGAAGCACGAAAAGTTCGGTTACACTTGATTCGATTTTAGGCGGCCAGCTGTTCGGCGTCAGCAGTTTCGACGACGAAGACGAGAGTACGCTGTTCGAGATCAACATGAACACTCTGGAAGTAGGATTTCACACACCAGTAAGTGGTTTATTGTAGTACAAGCAAGACTTCTGTGCTTTCTTTCAAGGTTGAATGTTGAACATGTAGAAGGCCCCGCCCTCAGCGTCAGGGTTTCGGATAAAAGCAGTTTTTCTTAAGCACAGCTATCTTGCGAGAGATGAAGCTTCTTATAAGTTCGCCGTTACAACTCCTCCTTCAGCCAACAGTTTTTAAGTTCATTGCATGTCTTTGATGCTATCG